GTTTTAAAGAAAAAAAGAACAGATTTGATTTTAAAGACTAGGTATAGGAGAAGTGAGTCAGACCTGATCTCAGGGACACCAGAAGGGATTCGATTTACTGCATTTTTATTGCTTCTGATGTAGTCCAGGATGACTGAAATCAGGATCTAGCAAACTGAAGAATAAACAAGCACAAAAATATCCTTCATTGAACACAGTCAAGAAAAAAAAAAAGAAAAAGAAAAAGAGAAAAAAAAAGGTACATAAAGCAAAAAGGTACATAAGCACAGGCACATAGCTTCTTGAAATGCTTTCTGATGCCTGATCCAAGCCCAGGTACTTTCAGCCAGTGTGAACAGAGGCTCTACAACTCTGCAAGGATGTTCAGGGTGTCATTGAAGAAAACTCTGGGGTGGAAGGAGCATATACTACTTATAATGCTGATCCTGGCAATGCTTGTATATACTTTGTCAGGCAAGAGAGTAAATAGGCAGGAAGTCAGAGAAGTATTCCAAAATATAGCAAGCAGAACAAGACAGATTTTGAAGACCAGCGTGAGAGTTCTGATTTGGAAGTAAAGCTGCATATAAATTTAGTTATTTGTTTAGACGAAAAATTGCATGGAGCCCTAGTCCTTGTCCTCCTAAACAAGGTAGTTATGGTGCTTCTGTCAAAGGAAGGTTTGCATCCACTAAGGGAGTTGTTGAAAAGTAAAGGATTTGGTGCTTTAGTGATTCATGCAAAGCTGGAAGGATACAGAACCAAAGAATATATTGCCACTGAAAGATAGAAAACAGGTAGAAACATACTCTTTCTCAGCAGCATACTTGACCAAACTGAAATATAACAATAATAAAAACATGATGGTTCAGTAAAATCTCCACATAATCATAATTCTTTAAGATTAGGAGTATTTGACAAAAACTTGCCCAGTTTTGGAATGTCTTTGTGTTATTTGGCATAGAAAGGAGAAATGGCAGAGATTGCAGCCACAAGAAAAGCCCTTTGCTTTGGTCCATATATGTTGCACAGTCATTCCAAAAGAGAAAGGCAAAGAAGTACAGCCTGCTTCAATTTCCCTGCACTGCTTTAATTTCTGATATCAAATACCCATTTCTAATTGGGCAAAAAGATCTTTCTGTGGTGGTCAGCAGTCACTTCTTTCTATTGCAGTTTCAATAACTGCTACACTTCATGAAAAAGCAATTTTTTCAGCTTTCCAATATGTATATATTGCTTGTACCTTTTATCTCCAAATACGTTTTAATCAGTGCCCATAAAAATACAAACCATCCTTTGTCATCAAATTTTGTCTTTGTAGAAACTGTTGCTGGCAGCAATGCTAACACTTTACTCGAATTTCAAGAAATGGCTAGTCTAATAGAATTATGGCAATGATGCCTGTTAGTTGCTCTTCTACACTCACTACATTCTGCTCATCTAACGTCTCAGCTATGTGCCATGTTACTCACTTTTTTACCTAAATTACTATGCAATCTTGCTTCTCGCTATTTAAAAATTTCCTCATTTCACCTTTAATACCACTAAGCAATGACAACTGAAGAAATTCCTAAAATGATTCGTGCTTAGTTTCTGGAATCTATTCAGGTAACAGGCCATACCAGTGTCTGACTGATTGCTGTGCACTTGGAATTACTCTGAACATCTAGTTTGGACATCCGAAACAATCACAATTTTCCAGAGACAAGTAGTGAGCAAACACCGTTTATAACAAATATAAAAACACTATTTCAGTATTGGCTAACAAAGGGATTTATGAATTTTTTTTACCAGAAATGTAAAGATACTATTTTGTATCCTCCAATAGAGAGATTGCAGAGAAACTGGTGAGAAAGTTTATGTTTAATAGTATCATACTGTAATTACACAGTAGAATTTAACCACACAGCTGTGAAAACAGTTATGGTGAGACACAATTATGAGGCATCTCAATCCCACATAGGTAGTGAGATGAATCCTGCTGTCCTTGCTAAGTCTTTTTCCTGAGAATACCATTGAGCTAGGCACGTGTTTCTCTGGCCCGTTGCTTCAGTGCAACAGGATTGTACCTAAACCATTTTACAATGTTTAGGAGCTACAGGTTCCCTACGCATGGTGCTCAGGGCAAAGACAAAGCCAGTCATGAGTACAGAAGCAGCATGAACTCCTTGGTGTGTTGTTGCAGAGAGCCAGCCTATTCCTGTGATGGCAATGCAAGGCATGCTCCTTCCCCCCAGCATAAAGCAGTGCTGCAAAAATAAACCCAAACCATATATGCTTTTCTAAAATGGGACCATGTATCAAAGATTGGTATTTTAAATCTCAAGTGGCTTGTGAAGATAGAAGTCACTGCCAATGGGCTAGCACAGATTGGGCTCCTTTGCACATGCAGAATTGGACTGAAAGGCTGGGGAGAGGAGAGGAGCCACGTATGAAGCTGAATCCTGAGGAAACTGGTCACCAGTATGTTAGAAGATAATGTGTCATTAATGCATTGATGCCCCTGGGAAATGGTTATTTAAGGACCTCAATGTGATTTGAACCGTGATTGAAAAGTTCAGTGTGGTAGCAGTGACCTAACAAGTCTTTAGGTACAGAAATGCTCTGTAGTTACAGTATCCCCGTATAGCACAATATTTAGACTAGGCAAGAGCTCAAAAGAGCTTCACAAAATGGAGTCCTCCTAGCTGTTGCACTTTATCATGGATATGATCAAAACATAAAACATCCTTTTAAAATAATCTCTATCCTGGTAGATAGAAAGTGACTCAGGATCTAATGCATAGGAACTAGGATTCCATAGCCCTTTCCTAAAAGGACTGGAATTGTCCAAGATGAGGCCTCTAGTAACAACTAGAGGCAGTTGTTTGCTCTAGTTCTTGCCGCAGGTCTTGCTTGCTCCAATTTATTCAGTACTTATTGCACCCGGAATAAGACAGCAAAGGGTCTGAGAGATCCCTATCCAGATTATTTACAACTAAACACAATCAGGTGAAAGCTTCTCTCATATTTATTAAAAAAAAAAATGTGCCCAAGAGAAGCTCTTTTCCGCCTATACTCCCTTTGGTTATTATTTTGTAACTCTGTATAAGCAAAGTTTCACTGCACCTGGTAAATATCTGTGGGGGCAGGATGACTCAGTCACTTAAATATGTAGCATGGTTCCCCCTATTTCTGCATTACAGCAACACCCCAGTCTGACTCTGAGCAAGTCACAGGCTGTCTTTCAGATGGTATTTAATGTGAGGTTCTCACTGCTTGCTAAGAAAGATCCCCTGGCACTTTTCACAAAAGTAGGGCTATTAACCTCTCTGACCTGACCATATTCTACTATTCATTAAGCACCATGGGGGGAAGAACTAGTTTAGTACTGACTGAGAAGGAATAGTGCCACCCACTAAAGCAAAAACATCACACTTAGCAGCAGCCCGAGTATATACGTACATAGACATATGTGTGTTTATAGTATATATACACACAGTGTATGTTGAACAGAAACCAAGGAGTAATCTGATGTGGTAGTTATAATTCACTGTGTCTTAGATTAATGTGTTACATCGTTCAGTGGCAAAACTGACAAGATGTTACACGATCATGTTTAGTCACATTGGGTATGTTGTAAACCAAATAAAGAATTTTCTCTGATGCTCAGAGTTTCAGCATCCAGGGAGAAACCCCTAGTCCATGACTGCAGCCTTAAACTGGTGAATTTATACCAGCAGAAAAGCAAAGCAGAGGAATGAGGCCCACGTTATTTCTCCCATCCCACTGTTTCCTCTCTACATTATGGCTGCTAAGAACAACTTTTCAGCTTGATATGTTTTCTTTCTGCCAGCTGCCACCTTAAATTAGCTTTTCTTGTGCAATTTGGTAGTAAGGATCTTTGGGTTCATGTCAGGAGATACATTTAACATGCTTCCAATACTCCAGCATAAGCAGCTGTGACATGCAGGCAACTCTGAACATCCACAACCATCACCATCAATTACCCCCTTTATTAATCTGACCTTGCAGTGGATACCCAGGGAGAATTTCACTGTCAGTCTAACATTTCACAGCTTCCTATGTTTCATTAATATATACATATATATTTATTTATTTATTTATATATATATGTGTGTGTGTGTGTGTGTGTGTGTGTGTGTTGTGTTTCACATTTCACTTGTTTGCTGCCCTCCCAAACACCAGCTTCTTAATTTTAGCTGCTTTGGTATTAAGACATAAATCACTTTTTTATGGCTGCTGCACCATTTTTCTGCTAACAGCTGCCATATTGCATTAGGCTACATTATACATGATGAAGAATGAGGGAGAGGTGGAGCACAACATGTGCAGCCTAACAAATTTATTATGCTGTTCAGTTGACAGGCTTATTCATCTTTCAACACTGAGAGTACAGTAAGTCCCACTAACCCAAACTAACAGCGCTCCGTGAAAATGTTAAGAATGTAGATTATATACAAATCAGTAAACTCTGATACTGTGTATTCAGCTTGAATAATCTACTCCTTGATAATGGAACCAATGTATTTTAGGCATCTGTTACCCTTAGGATGCCTTTATGGAAAGGCATTTATAAATTCAGTTTCCAAGCACAGCACAAAACTGTATTGAACAACGAAACTCTTCAGCTTGTGGTTATGTTCACACAGCTCAAAAACACTCAGGACTTGTCTACACTGCAAGCTGTGGGGTGACACAGAGATACCATATCTCAGCTGAAGTAGCTTATGGTTTCCTAGTGTAAAGTGGGCATTCCCTGGGCCCACATTTTGGAAAAAGGTGCGTACCCACCTAGAACAATGCAGGAAGTCCCTAGGGTGCCAGAATTGCTGCTCTCCCTTGCCTGAAAAGTCAAGCCTCATTCCTGTGTTTTGAAGAGATCATCCACAGTCTGAAGCATCCCCAGTCATGTTTATCATTTCAGCGCAGCTGGGCTTCTTTGATATTAGTACATATTTTTAAAATGGGCTGTAAAACCTGGCAAATGTGGAAACCTGTTTAAAAGCTTTGACCTCAAACCTGTCAGGAGTTCTTACAGCGTTTTTATTGGTTCCGGAAGTTGGCATTTCCAAGTGGAATTCTTCCAACAGAAGAAACAGTCACTTCTACATGAGAAAAAAAAAAGAAAGTAATTAAAATATGTAAATTTGGAGTTATAGTATAGATTATTTAAGTTACAATAGTACAGACTGTAGAAAATTTCATAAGTGGAACAAAGTTTACGGAAGCTCTAAAAAGAAATACTATTCTTCCTTTCTCATGTAAAGCCTCCTGCAGCTTCTGCGCTTATTGGGAGTTTCTTAAATCACAGCATTGAGACTCCCTATTAAGGAATACAAAATTCAAATTTTTACAATTCAACCTTTTCCCTTATTATCTACTGTGGTGTTCATAGTGTGGGGATACTGTAAATCATGTAATAATGTTAATTATGTTCAAATGCTAATTGTAAAGGTTTTAATAGTGATCTCTGTAACTAGAAACCTTATTGATCATGCCTACATTTGTATGTATAGTCACTTAGTGCTGGCTGAAACACCTAAATCCTAGCCTGGGTTGTACTGAAATCTGAGTAAAACCCGGGCTGGACTCCTAAGGAAAAAAAAATCTTGTTTGGGTGCTTCTCAGAAAGTGTTAAATGTCTCCCCCTTCCCCTCAAGAAACTAAAAAGTTGAGCAATATTCTATATTATTTTATAGAACTATATAGTTCTATTTTATAGAACTATAAAGAAAAATTATTGATTAAAATTTTGTACAAAGTAAACCATGCTGGTTTGCATTTAGAACATTTGCAAAACAATGCCTGAAAGAAGACTTTGGCAGATTTTTTGTTTCCCATCAGGATATCAGCACTATTGTACCTAATGAGGTCCTCTTATTTCTTATGTTTTCTGAGACCTATATACAATTATTTCAGTCTCTGCTACTTCAAATGGCTCTGTATTTAACACACACAGAGTTATTTTAGAATACTAGTCTCCTTTTTTTGTGGTTGTTTGACTTCTATTGGTTTGGGGGTTTTGGGGGGGGGGCATTTTGTTTTGTTGTTGGGTGAGGGTGTTGTGTGGAAACAGTCTGTAGACTTGGGACAAACTGGAGAGATCTGTTTAAAAATTCACAATGCATCAAAGCACAGATTTTGTGCTTTCCATCTCTGTTACTAAGCTGTGCAGGTAGCCAGGATTTTCCTTCATGAAAGTTTTTTTCATGATCCACAAATCATTTATACACAGAGCTGAATAAGCAAGGGTCAATACCATGTCACAATATTTGGGCAATATCTCAAAGGGTCTTTCTCCGGCACATGGGAGTTAAAGCTCCTGAAAATTTAGATTTTTTGCTAAGATTTAAAAGAGCATTGGACACCACTATGTTCGGTCAAATTTGCTGGCTGCAGTGAAAAATAAATGAGACCACATTTTTTGTTGTCTTCATCTTTAAAATTAAGTTCATGTGAGCTGCCTTCTGCACTAGCATACACGCTCAGAAAATCTGCAGTTACAGCTTACCACTACATAGGGGTGTTATTACTCACTCCCTCAGTGCAGCCATACAAGACCTAAGCACATTTTGCTTTGAAGAGGTTAACCATCTCTGAACCTTACGAAGTGTTTTGAGTGTTAATGGTCTCTGTTCAGTTCTGTATTGCTTTGAAACAGACCAGCTTATGCATCTGTTTATTTGAACTTAGATTAGCTAATGCAGTTGTTTATTTTTCCTTAACTAGAGCACTAAAACACTTATTCTATATAGTTTTAAACATTAATTCCTAAGAAACACATTTTGTCAGCGTAAGAACTTGGAAAAAGTTGCTTGCTTTGAGTGGGAAGAGTAAGATGATTTTACCCACATTTGGGTCTTATTGTTTTAAAAGTGGAAGAGAAATGACAAAATCTTGAGACCATTACCTATATGCAAAATTATTTGGTTTTTGATTTTTTAACTTAGTGAAATGCATGAATTTATTTAAATTTTGTTTGGATAAAACTTTCCCTTGACACTATAGTCTATCTATTTTAATTTGGTTTACTGCCTGGATGCTTTGCATAAAGCCACAATAAAAAAGTACACTCTCCAGCTATACATAAGAAGATTGTTAGTTAACCACTTTTTAACCTTTCCATTCCTATGTAAGGAAGCATCATCAGTATCAAAAAGCTTGCTCTAATTTCCTTGCAAGGAACAATCTTTATAACTGCAGAATGAAATTTTTGTGTTAAAAGAAACATTTTGAAACATCAGAAAAGAGCATATTGATTGTTTTCAAACAGAAACTGTCCAGTTTTCATTTTGCATTAAGGATTTCTTTTGAAATTTACCTATATTCATCTTTAATGAATGTTAAAAATCCTACATGAAATGTCTTCTGACCTGAAATGACATTTCTTTCAAATTTGTGTGTTGCTGTTTGGCAAGAAAATAGACAAATTTTAATTCTGGGTGGACCAAAAGAATTTTTTTTATTGTTGTTGATTTTTTGGTTTGGCTAGCAAACAAATACAAATAAATAAATTTTTTGTACAACTCTAGCCTTCAGATATAACTTCATCAGCAAAACTCTCCTTTCAGTTTTACACATGTAAACAAGTAACTGTATTTGTTTTCACAGGGTTACATCATACTTATGCAAGAGAAAAAGAAGCAAGATTTCCTGTCAAAATAATAATAAAAAAAAAGGTTAAAAAAAGGAAGGAAAAGAAAAACAAATCAGTGTAATAGAGCCACATCTCTCCTGTGTGTTGCTTGACACAAGCTGAAACAAAACTGGCTTGAGACTCTGCAGAAGCATAGTTTGGAAGCGAGAAAAATAAATTGAATCCTGCAGCAGTATAGCAACTCTCCCAGACACTGCACTGGGAGGAATCAGGGGAGTTTCAAGGGGCTGTGTGTGGAAAAAAGGATTAGGAAGAGCCAGTGGGACTTGGCCGACCTTTCTTAACTTCCTGACCCCCACTTTCCACCCCTGGGAGCCGGGTTCTGGTTGTGGGAACAACACCTGCCTTTCCCAGCCCCATCTCCACAGGGGCTGCTGCTGCTTCCCCACGGGTATGTAGGGCCAGAAACGACTACGGCAAGGGGAAAGTCTCCTGTGCTTCATCTGCCCTGCTCTGGGGTCCACAGGGAGGGGGTAGCAGTGGGGTGAAAAACATCTGATGTGTGGTGAGCAATGTGGTTCATTGCTGAAGGTTTTTCTACAATGCCACCAAGCAGAGCATCCAGCCCCATCTCCTTGAGTAAGATCTCAGCTGGTGGGGTCCCAAGGGCCTGAACCAGAAAGACAGCACACAAATAGAAGCTGCTATCATCTTTAACTGTGCCCAAAGGTGGTTTTGGGTCACACAGGTGGACAGCAGAAGTTAGCCACTTATCTTTTTGAGTCATCTATAGCTATACCATCAGTATTTCCCTTACAGCAAATGTTTACAGATATAAGCTACAAGAAATAGATAGGACTGGACAACATACACAAACTGAATACTGAATGCACTTTCTGTATCACTTTATATCTCTTACTGTAATGCAAAGAACTATAATAAGTTACACACATATTTTAATACATGTGTGCTACAGACTGAAAATGTATCCACACTTGGGTCATCACCTATATTTCTGTCAATTTCTATACAGACAGATTTTCATATATAGTCCTATGGGTGCACTCTGAGCACGTGTGAGTCTGCACACGTTTATCTAATGTGCACATTGGTTATCCTTAAATTCCTGCTTAGAGGAATATTATTTACCCTACAGTTGTTATAAATCACATACCATATGATGTGTCAACACAGTGGTCATAAATGACCGAGTATCCATACAAAACACAGGCCAGTGACATCACTACTATCAAACATTTTGGCCCTGTAAGGCTGATTGCAGACCCAGGGCAAAAGCTGAGAGGATTTTTGTTGAAGCACACTTTCTCTCCTTCCCTGCTCTCTATTCTTCCCTTTGGTTTTACCCTTCCAGTTCTCCTTTCTCCAGCTCACCTTTTCCTTCTTCTGAGTAATACAACTATTACATATTTTTCCAAGTGTATAATGCCTAATCAAATTAACAAATCCTTATAGTAGCATTACCATAGTTCTTTTTATATCTCTCTTCTGTAATATTTCTCTCATTTCTATGACTTACACAGAAATAATATTTACATTTATTTGCTTTTTTTCAACAGGAAACTACCAGATTATTTGTCATGTAAAACAAGAAAGGCTTGTAAATGTCCAGATACAGGACAATTAAAAATAATATACAAATATTGTGTTATTACACAGATACCCACACATATTTTGTATATCAAAACACAGGAAAGGTGTTTTAGCAAGGTTAGTTTGCAACTTGCCATTACATCTCTGTGCTTGCCTAGCCTAGTGTCAAATCAAAGTTAATTAAGTTACTGTAAAAGTCAAGTCTTCCTTTCTGGTTCCCTACTTAACTTAGTAAGAGAGAAAAAAACTGCAGCTTTGGATCCACCTTAATTACAGAAGTTGTATGTTTCACAGAATCACAGAGTATTATGAGTTGCAAGGGATCCACAAGGATCAAGTCCACCTCTTAAGTGAACAGCCCATACGGGGATCAAACCCATGACCTTAGTGTCATTAGCACCATGTTCTATCCAATGGAGCTAATCTCAGTTGTTCCCTCTTCCATCATGACTCCTGCATAATGTCAACCCACCTTCATGGCACTATGAGGAGTAGATTCATAAACTCCTCGGCCCTTAGGAGCTGTGGGTACTACAGGCAGAGCAGATAAGGGGAGGAAGCCTGCTCCCGCCTCAAGTGTGCTAGTGGGCAATTTGGATAAATCAGAAAGGAGATAGAGTTAAAACACAGAAACACTCCTAACCTTTCATTGGCCTTTATTATTCACTATTTTATTATTACTATGCGCTATATATATATCCCTTTTATTTTAATAAGTAGAATGTAATAATGCAATTAAGATACAGTGTGAACATACAATTATTCAATATTGAATTCTACATGCAAGTACTAGAACTTGAAGCGGGAAATTATTAATGCAAATGAAAACTGGATAGGTTGATGTCTGCAGATAACTACAGGTTTTGAGATAAACAGTGAAGCAACTCACTGTCTGAA